AAGTATGACTGTGCTGCTTTTTTTCTCAATAGCCACCCGTTGCAAATGAGTCCTCTGTTGTTATTGTTGTTTTTAGGCTTGAGATTTACTTTGGTTGTGAAAATATTTTTTTTCCAAAGACGTTATTTAACCCAAAGTGTTGCATCACTCTTAAGTAAAATGATTTTTTTAGTGTTTGCTTTGGATTAATAACCCAGCGCTTGCATTCCTTCAAGAGCTTACATGTCTTTTGTAACTATCAGAAGTTGTACTCACAGCAGCAGATTACTCTGTGGCTGTCCAGGCTCCTCATCCGAACTTCACTGAAGTTTGTGAAAGGGCTCGTAGGCATTTCTCTGGGTGTCAGATCGGTTCCCAGGACTGATAAACGTTCAGAGCAGAGAGGGTGAAGGAATTTTTTAATATTTGAGAATTTCAAGTTCCTTTTAAGCAGAAATATTTCCAGCAATGGAGGACCAGTTTATATAAGTCTGTTATTCCAGTTGTGGCTACACCTTTATGGCATAATTAATCCATTAAATAAAGTAATTGTGAAGCACTGAATGATAGATGAAGGACAAAGTGCATTCAAAAAGTAAAAATAGATTAGAACTAGAAAATGTTACTTTATTAACGATTGCAGTGCATTTTTGCTTAAACCACTTTGAAGCATTTTTGGCTTCTGACGAACGGGCAAATCTCAGGCGAGAGCCGATGTAGGTGTTCCCGTTCCCATCCTCTGAGCCTGAAAGGTGCTTTTCCTTTGCAATTTAAAGGCTTGATTCAAACCTTCCTCACTTCAGTGGCGGTTCGTGTGCTGACTGCAGTTGGCTTTGGAGCTGGCATTTCACCCGGGATCTTTAAACTGTGTTTAAATGGGGTGCTGAAGAGGAATGTCCTTCCTGTTGTGTCCTGTGAATATTAGGAGTATTGGTATGAATTACACATTGGAGATAAGGTGTGGGCAGGAACATTTGGGTTGAATATTTTCAAAACTTGTCATACATTTTTGGAAGGGGAGTCTTAAAAGTTCTGCCAGATGTATGTATGTGTGTGTGAGTTGTAAAAAGAAATTGGTCAGCACAGTGCACGCTGGCTAGGACGTACTCAGATCTGTTTTGTGGCTGAGGGGTACTTCACTCCAGGACCAGTCCCACGGAGATGGATGGGGTTTGAGATACGGTTGAGAAAAAAAGGGTGTCAGGAGCTGACTGGTGAGGAACAGCAGAGCCTGTGACTCCAGCTGAGCAGTGGATGGGGGGGGGGCGGGGGGGGGCGACATCACTGGACCTGCAGTTTTTGTGACTAGAGCAAAATTAAACCATTAGAGCACTTTTTTTTGAGAGAGAGAGAGAGAGAGAGGTTAGAAAGTAAACCTTATCTACCTGGCAGGCTGTAGTGGTAGTTTTACAGCCATATTAGTATTATAAGTAAATACTCTGTGCATTTGGGCTCACCTGTAGCACAGAGCTGTCTGCTTCGTTAAATGTGTGCTTAGGAGGAGTGCTAGCCGTTCGGGTCACACACACTGGTTAGTGGCTTGACCCTAATGCAACAGCTTTTTCCTAAGTTACTAGCTGATCTGTAAATACGTATTTTCATCTGGCTTCTGCCGGTTGAGCTAGTGTAATATTTACCCAGTAGAGCTCAGTCTAATGGCATTTATCATGTAAACCCCAAGGTAAGATCTGTAAGCTTTTTTCCTCAAGCGAATGTTTGTTCTGATACACAGTCTTCCCCAGAGCCATTATCATCTTTTATGTACATTTTTACAAGTTGCCTGTTTATGTACTGCTGATCAGTGCCTTTGGTCTATCACTCCTGCTGTCAGACATTAACAGAGAAGTGAGTTAATCAAGCTTACCTTTGGGGTGTAATCAGAACCTTTAACTAATGGAATTTCTTGTTGGAGAAAGGAGATTGGCTTTTGCATTAAATTCATAGAATAAAAAGTCTGATAAGCTTTTGGTTAAAAAATAGGCAAAAGATGTGCAGTAACCTGTTGCCAAACCCTAGCATGACAATTGCTCTTCATGGTTTCTAGTTTTTCAAACATACCCAGTAGTTTGCATTTTGGTTTGTGCTTATCTAAGCTGTATTGGGTAAGTGGCTGAAATATTCCCCCTTCCCCTTGTGGGGGGAATGCTACCACAGTAGCATTTTCTTGGATGTGGACACTTATGCAAAGCTTTTTCTATTACACATTTAGGATGTCTTTTAGTTACATGTCATTCTAGATAACAACCACAGAATCCATATTTAAACTTCTATTTTAGCTACTTCCACTTGGACTTCTCTAATAAAACTATCATGCAGTCTTGCATTTGCAAAGGCACTCAACCATAAGATATTATCATAAGAAACCAGAAGGAATAGTTACTTAAAAGTCTTTAAATTAATGGATAATTTCCTATCTTAGCTTCTCCATAAGACAGGATTCTTGACTGTTTGGTACGCTTGGTCCTTGTACCTGCCTGAGCTCACACAGGCTCTGATCTGGGAAAGCAGAGTGGGATGTGCCACGGTCCATCCGTGCTCAGAAGTTGGGACTGTAAATCACTGACAGTCCTGGATTCGGCCCTGAGCTGCTCCGTATGTGGTCGTGGCTTTAAACAACCTGGGCTCAACTCTGAAACGTGCCAGGAGCCTGTATGTTCAGATCCATGGGAGACACAAATATTGCAAATCGGCCTTAAATCTTGTTTTTCAGCCTTAATGAGCCATGAGAACTTGTGGGGTGTCAGAGGCAGCTCTTGAGCACCTGATCTGTCCTATTTATGGAATATATTTATTATTCATTTTGTTTGCCTCGTGCTGTATTGAACTCCAGGCCTGCGACCGAGACCAGCAGTGCGGAGGAGGGATGTGCTGTGCGGTTAGCCTTTGGATCCGCAGCCTGCGAATGTGCACGCCAATGGGAAATTTGGGAGAGGAGTGCCATCCTTTGAGTCACCGAGTGAGTACGTCCCCAGGGGGGCTGTGGGACCAGAGCTGGCAGGGCAGAACTGCCCTGTACGTCACATTGCATAAAAACGATACGTGGTGAAAAGGTGAGGGAACATCCCATGCATTACAATACCCAGCCATACGCATCTGTATGGAAATAGCGCTGAAGGTACCTACGTCAGGAAAGACATTACTGTCAGAACTGTGCTGAAGAGAATCCAAGGATGAAAATAATACATACTTTTCAGTTTGTTTGCTTATTAGTTTGTTGTTGCTGGTTTGCTTCATTACATGATCCAAAACAGCCTTAGCAGTTCCCAAGCCCGACCCTGCCAACGCCTACGCGTGTGAGCAGGAGCGTAGCAACCACCACCGACCTCGGTGGAACTGGGCAAGATCCCATCACAAGCATAAAAACGTCACCAGCCGGTGTTGGGACACCTGGCGCATCACTGCAGCACGGTCCCTGCCATCAAACAGCAACGTCCCGTTGCGCTCTAGGGGCTGAGAGCCACTTCAGAAGCCATTGAGAAAGTGTTGGCACATACTCGTATTTGAGAAAACTCACCGCAGGCTCTTTTTGCTTCTGTTCTACCTATTAGTTTTTAATATATATGTGTGTACACATATGCACACACATGTATAACACACTAGTTACATATTAGTACATTATTATATGATACACTATACTATTAATATAAAGATACTAACAAATACATTCATTTAAGGATATGTAATTACGTATATTATATGTACTATGAAAAAGTTTGTTTGTTTATAAATAATACAATCTGTATACAAAAGATTGAATGGGATGTTACCACGGAGCTTGAGAACCTGGTGGTCTTCAGAGCCATCCTCAGGAAAGAGTATGGCCCCAGAGTCATCACATGTGAAAGATATCACGGCAATAAATTTAGATTATAAATGTGCAGCTGGTTAGCTGCCTCTCTCACTGTCTCATCTAATGCCCGGCTTCTCAGCTCAGTATCTATGGTTTATTATTTTCCCAGTTTTAGGAAGTGCAAGGCTCTGTTATATTACAGTTAAATTTTTAAATCTTCTGCTGTGATGTTGGGAACCAAATTCTCTTTTTTACTACCTAATGTAGCAAGTTTTTCTCTTAAGGGCTCTTTACATTAACAGGAGTCTCAGGATAGGAGAAATTGTCTTCTAGGTTTTTTATGACCTTATTACTATTGGGTAATAATTTATACTGTCTGATATATTTTAAGTTAATTGCCCACATAATTACAATCAGAGAAGACGCCTGTCCACCCCAGACTTGCGGTCACAGTCACTGATGTTTATAAGCTTTATGAGGTTAATTTTAGATTTAGATTCCTCACCCCACTGCTCTTCATGACAAACACAAAGTAAATTGATTTACTGTAGTATGTGAAATTAGGTCTTTTTAAGGATGGAGAGTTTGCTTAATGGTTCTTCTCCCCTAAATGTTTGGGTAGGGGGCAGCTGGGAGACCAGATGCCCTCAGCACCAAGCCATCCATCTGGCTGCAGGTCAGGTACAAAGCAGGCACCACCACGGCCACGCTACCACCTCAGGGACCTCCAGGGGGGCCTGGAGATACCCTGGAGGAGATGGCTGCCGGTTGGGTTTCCACCTTCTAGTTTCCTTCTCAGCAACTAGATGACGTTGGCTTGATGCCGTTAACAATCTCCGTTGGCATTGCAGAGGCAGGGTTTGCAGGCAGGAGGGCAGGGTTTGCAGGCAGGGCCAGGCAGGTGAGGTTTGGCAGGTTAGCAGACAAGAGCTGGCAGCACGGGGGTGGCTTCACTGCCACTGCGCACCTTGCACATAATCCCCACGTCTCTCCCAGGAGCTGCCTTGTTTCCTTTTCACCTCCAAACTCCCATCACCCCATGCTCATTAAAACCCAGCGCTGGGCACACGGTGTGGCAAAGCATGCACCGGCTCAGCCGGCATCGCCAGCACCAGCTCCAGGCACGCGGGCTCTGCCTGTGCAGGCAGAAGCTGCACGCCCCAGCAAAGCGCCTGTCCTGCAGAGCTGTCACCCGCTGCCTGTCCCCAGCCAGGTGTGTTATTAAGCCAC